TAGGTTTGGGAAGTATCATTACAATTACACAGTGAGGTTTGAGTAGGTTTGGAAAGCATCATTATAATTACACAGAGATTCAGGTAGTTTGGGAAGTATCGTAATTACACAGAGAGATTTGGGTAGGTTTTGGAAGTATTACAATTATATAGTGAGGTTCAAGTAGGTTTGGGAAGTATGAATGTAATTACGCTGAGGTTTGGAAAGCACCATTATAATTACACAGTGAGGCAAAGCTAGGTTTGGAAAGTATCTATATAATTACACAGAGAGGTTCAAGAAGGTTGGGAAGTTTGTAGATTGCTGGTGAGTATAAAATAAGTAGCAGAATATTTACTGTGTCATTGATAGTTAAAATTTCATTTTGCTCTTTCTTCTTGACACTTTTTGGTATTTTATTTGCATATTTAATTGACTGATTAAGTATTGAGGAAGACAATCTTTCACACAGACTTGTGTACTTTTTTTTTTTCCACTTAAGGTTGAAATAGCACAGAAAATAAAAATATCAAGACTATGTATTACATTGTTTACTTATGTAATGAGAACTCTATAACAGAATATTTTAGGCTATAGATGTCAACGTAATTTCAAATCAATTGAAGAAAATTTTAATTTACCATCAAATATAGTTTGAAGTGCATGAAGTTTATTTATAAGTGTATTAGTGCTTGTTACCTAAAACACAATAATTAATGTGTCTGTAGGAAATTAATACAGACTTTGAGTATATAGTTCAGAATTATGTGTTAGTATTAAATGAATTGAATACTGTTTGTCACTGAAATAATTAAGTATTAAATTATAGCTAAAGAAATAGATGTTGACTGTATTTTCTAAAGTTATAGTTCAAGCAGTTCTAGTTTACTTGAACTAGCAGGAACCTTTGTCATTGGCTACTGTACATAAAACACTTTTATATGAGACAGTAAAAAATTTTACAGTTTGTTTTTGTTACATTAGAGGATAATAACACTAGCTTTGATGCAACAAAATAAATTTTGAACTTTGTCCGTCATGAAACTAGCAAGGATTTGAACGTTTGAATTTTTGGAGTTGTATCTTGTGGAGAGAATTTTGGTATATATATTCATATATATATAAGTAATGTAAATTTATGAGGGAAAAGTAAAAAAATTAAAAAATTGCAGCCACAATACAAACATCCATGTGAGGCTGGTGAAGTTGAGGTGAAACTGGAGAGATGGTGTACCCCCAACCAGGACACATTACATGATGATGCACCTTATGATTTGTGCCCTGGTGTTGGATGTTTGTATTGTGGCTGCGATTTTTTATTTTTATTTTTTACTTTTCTCTTGTGTATTTACATTACTTGTATTTCATCTACGGTTTCAATATGCTGCGTAAGATTCATGCCATCCTTCCTCATGATGTATTCTCTTTAGTTTTTAGCTTTTCTTAATAATATATATATCTTTTATGATCTGTTATTTATAACAGCATTTGTTATATTGGTTTTCCATCTAGCTATAATGAGGATATTACCTGGCTAATTACTTACTTCATCGTAGTCACTGCTTGCATGTTTTTTTTTTCACAGATGATAAGTGATGGATTTTTAGATTACTTGTGGAAGAAAGTTCAAAATCCAAACACTCCCAGTGTTATAAGACAAGCTTCAGCCTGTTACATTGGAAGTTTGTTGGCTAGAGCCACTTACATTTCATTAAGGTAGGGTTAAAATAAACATATCTTGTTACAAAAAAAAGGCTAATGAGATAACACTTATTGTTGTTGTCTTATCTTTTGATGTTTAGCTTTTAGAATTTCTGCCTTGGCTATTCCGGTGTAAGTTTTAAGACTGTGATTTTTTTTATCCAAAGATTTTGTTGAGTTGTGGAGTTCTTAGAGTTATATTTTGCATAAAAATTATAAATTAATATTCAAACAATTTTTCTTTTCTTAAAAAGTTCAATTATCCATCTCTTTCTATGTTTTTTCTATTTCTGTCAGATTGTTGCCCTCTGTTCCCATCTATTTTCGTATTGTCTAGCTATATGCCTTCATCACCTCCAATGTTTTTTTTTTCAGGTGTGGCTTAGTGGTTAGTGTGTTAGGCTGTAACTCTCAGGGTTCATGGTTTGCATCCTGTTGATGCAAAAATGCTTTGTGCACTTTGGGGCTGTGAGTGCATTATAATAGTGAAGGTGAGATCCCACCATTCCATTCACTTGGAGTAGCCCAAGAGTTGGAGGTGGGTGCTATTGACTAGCTACCTTTCCGGCCCGGCATGGCCAGGTGGATAAGGTGCTCGACTCGCAATCTGAGGGTCGCGGGTTCGAATCCCCGTTACACCAAACATGCTTGCCCTTTCAGCCGTGGGGG